CAACTATTCTCCGAATTTACGCCCGACCACCGACCATCGCCAAACTTATGTCTGGCCACCAATTATTTTTGGACTTACATCAGGCCACCGATTATCGTTAGATTTTCACCCGATAAACAGTGCTAGATTATGGTCCTTCTGACATTCGTCGCATGCCAGCAACGATCCTTTTGACCTTCGTCGTCAGATTATGATCTTTCTGACTTCCATCACCAACTGACTATAGTCCTTCCGACCTTTGTCGCCAGATTATGATCTTTTTGATCTCCGTCGTCCGTTGACTATGGTCCTTCTGACTTTCGCCACCAAATAACAATCTTTTTTTACCACCGTATCCTGCAGACTACTATCCTTCTGACCTTCGTCTTTAATCAAAGGTAATTCTGACCTCTATTGCCCGCAAACTATAGTCCTTCCGACCTCTTTCTCTTTATAAAGGTCTTTCTGACCTCCGTCGCCCACATATTACGGTCCTTCTGACCTTCGTTGTCAGATAACGATCCTTCTAACCTCGATCTTCTACTAACTACGGTCCGTCCGACCTCCATCACCAGGCTACATTCTTTTTGACCTTTGTCGCCCTTCGACTACAGTTCTTCCTACCACCGTCACCCCACTATGTTCTTTCTGACCTTTGTCGCCTGCCGACAATGGTCATGCCGACCAAACGAACATGTCAATTCTGATTCATTCAATTCCCACCAGGCCACCACGTAATGCTCTCTATATGATGTATATTTGCTACATCAAGTCAATACCTCCCCCCTAGGGAAGGGCCTCATTTGTAATCGACTGCAAAAACTAGTGGATTCATTCAAACTGGGTCAGGACCTATGTTTTTTCCCCTTTTTAGGGATTTTCACATAAAAACTCTGGTGTCTCTTATGAACGATACATCTTCTCTTTTATCTAATTGTGTGTTGGATTTTTGTACAAAATTAAGACGTTAAATTTTATATTCTCTATCATCATGAATATTCTATTATGCTACAATTATGATAAGATCTTAAGTTATTATAAGTATTTTTATTTGTGAAAATCTATGTGCAAAAATAAATCTTGTGTAAATTGAATTGCAATGTAAAAGCTCTTAAGATTCTCCAAATATATATATATATATATATATATTTGGAGAATCTTAAGAGCTTTTACATTGCAATTCAATTTACACAAGATTTATTTTTGCACATAGATTTTCACAAATAAAAATACTTATAATAACTTAAGATCTTATCATAATTGTAGCATAATAGAATATTCATGATGATAGAGAATATAAAATTTAACGTCTTAATTTTGTACAAAAATCCAACACACAATTAGATAAAAGAGAAGATGTATCGTTCATAAGAGACACCAGAGTTTTTATGTGAAAATCCCTAAAAAGGGGAAAAAACATAGGTCCTGACCCAGTTTGAATGAATCCACTAGTTTTTGCAGTCGATTACAAATGAGGCCCTTCCCTAGGGGGGAGGTATTGACTTGATGTAGCAAATATACATCATATAGAGAGCATTACGTGGTGGCCTGGTGGGAATTGAATGAATCAGAATTGACATGTTCGTTTGGTCGGCATGACCATTGTCGGCAGGCGACAAAGGTCAGAAAGAACATAGTGGGGTGACGGTGGTAGGAAGAACTGTAGTCGAAGGGCGACAAAGGTCAAAAAGAATGTAGCCTGGTGATGGAGGTCGGACGGACCGTAGTTAGTAGAAGATCGAGGTTAGAAGGATCGTTATCTGACAACGAAGGTCAGAAGGACCGTAATATGTGGGCGACGGAGGTCAGAAAGACCTTTATAAAGAGAAAGAGGTCGGAAGGACTATAGTTTGCGGGCAATAGAGGTCAGAATTACCTTTGATTAAAGACGAAGGTCAGAAGGATAGTAGTCTGCAGGATACGGTGGTAAAAAAAGATTGTTATTTGGTGGCGAAAGTCAGAAGGACCATAGTCAACGGACGACGGAGATCAAAAAGATCATAATCTGGCGACAAAGGTCGGAAGGACTATAGTCAGTTGGTGATGGAAGTCAGAAAGATCATAATCTGACGACGAAGGTCAAAAGGATCGTTGCTGGCATGCGACGAATGTCAGAAGGACCATAATCTAGCACTGTTTATCGGGTGAAAATCTAACGATAATCGGTGGCCTGATGTAAGTCCAAAAATAATTGGTGGCCAGACATAAGTTTGGCGATGGTCGGTGGTCGGGCGTAAATTCGGAGAATAGTTGCTGGCCGGGAGGATGTCCGGTGAAAGTCCAACGATGGTTGGTGACCGGGCTTAATTCCGACAATAGTTGGTGGCTTGGAGGAGCTTGGTAACAAGAGAGATCTCAGATTTATCTTCCTCTCCTTTCTTCTTTCTCTTTCTTGCTACTTTGCTTCCTCTTTCATCCCTTGCTTGGTCCTCCCCTCTTTCAATGAAGAACGTTGAGTCTATTTATAATTTTTTGGAAGTGGCATGACCATTAAATAGGGAGGAGATCAAGGGCATGTTAGAAGTGTTTTGAATGGACGTCCGATATCAACTCCTTTGATCAGAGACCATTTATCAAGTATTTGAGTGCCTTAATAATGTTAGAATTCAACAATCTTTGGCTCGTTGGATTCATCTCATCGAGCCGCTCGATTCAACTATAAGCGTGTCACATTTGGAAACCGTTTGACCATCCAATTTATAGTTTTCACCTTGCAAATGAGCTTCGGGTCTTCGATTTGGTCCCATTCGAACTTATACTATGTCAAATTTGGAGTCGCTGGGTTCATCTTTTCAAGACGTTCAGTTAAGCTATAAATTTGCTGAAATCAAAGTTGGGATGGTCCCAAATTTAATTTTAGAAGTTTTCAACTTAATTTTGCATCGGGATTCGTGCCCGGTCAAGATATAATAATTTCATTATAAAATGTTCGCATTCATGTTTAGTTTACCTGCAATTCTTACCACCGGCAAGACCTTTTCAGCGTTTTTTTTTTCTTTTGAAAGGCCACTATATTAAAAACCACGGCTGAGCCTATTAAAATCTTCCCACCATTTCATCTCACAAACCTTCTGATGACCAGAAGAAAGAGAGATATTGATTACTAATAAGTCCATCAAAATCCTTCTATTCAGAACCAACTTGAGAGAGTTTCATGTAAAGTTGAGAACATAAACAGCTCCTGCTGCAATTTTCCAAACTGGTCTTCTTTGATTCCCAGCTCAAGAAGCCAAATATTCCATGCCTTCAATGCTTCTTTGTTGTTCCCTCTCTTTATGATTTGTCTTTGCTGGTCTTTATCCTTTCTTGTCTCCTTCCTCCATTCCCATTGATTAAATCCTTTTAATGCCGCAGTTTAGATTGGTTTCTCCAAGGTTTGATTACCTCAGCTTGTCTTAAGCCATGGGGAGTGTTGTTCTCTCGAAACAAAGGAGTAAAAAGGAAGAGAAAGGGAAGGATAAAATGCCCCGTGTATGGGTTTCTCTCAAGAGATCTCTCCACTGTAAGCCAGAGCCAGGTGAAGTACTTGATCCAGAAGCTAGAGGCCATGTTGGTTCCATCCTCAACAGGAGACTTAGTAGGTCTGGCTGCTCAAGATCCATAGCCAATCTCAAGGATGTTATCCATGGAAGTAAAAGGCACTTGGAAAGACCGCAAAGTTGCAGTCCAAGATCGATAGGAAGTAGCGAGTTTCTCAATCCAATAACACATGAAGTCATTCTGAGCAATTCCAAGTGTGAGCTAAGGATTACTGGCTTCAATGGCTGCTATGAGGGAGATACTGAGGGGATGAGTTCTACCTTCGTGGGCACTCTGAGGCCAGGGACTCCAGGGCCTTTGGGGCATTTGAGAGGGGTGGGTACTCTCACTCCTCCAAGAAGATCACCTACTGTGTTGGTTGGTAAGAGAGAGGGCAATGGATTTGGGGGATCAAGTCTTGCTGGTTCTATAGGTGGAAATAATGGAACTGAAATAGGATTTCATGGCGTTTCTACACCCAGGACTTCAGTTGAGTATGCTTCTTTTAGACTGGCTTGTCATAAATGTGGAGAGAAGCTTCTCAAGTTTGATGACTTGGAAGCTCATCATTTATCCAAACATGCAGGTAAGATCTGGGTGCATAATTCTGCTTCTTTGTTTTCTAATTTTGTGTATTTTAAAGAGTGCACATCTTTATTTCTGATTTCCTTGCTTTGAGTAATTGATTATCAAGCTGTAATTTCAGAACACAAAACTTGCTATTTTTTCTATGGTTTTGTATCTCTCCTACCATGGAAATCTTTTCTGAATTGCAGTTCTGCTTATTCCAATCTAAATATAAATACCAGTAAGATCTATAACAATATGGGTCTAATATGTTTTCGCTTGTTCATTTTTTGAAACGAGATGCAAGTTTTGATTCATTTGTGCATGAGTGATCTAATTGTTTTCCTTTATGCACCCAAAAGATCATACCTGTATGCGAATTTTCAATTCTTTTATGATGGGTTTTCTGAAAATATAATTTTTACTATTTTTCCTCTTTTCCTTTATAGTTTTGTTGTTTTAAAGAGTATTACTGAGAATTTTTAACATGTGTGATATTACTTTTGAATTCAGAATGATTTTAAACAAGTTAAATCTTTTAAATTTAAAAAAAAAAGGATCGAAGATATGAAAATCATAAGGAAATTCGATTCTTTTTCTCAAAAACCACTATTTTCCTGTTTGAAACTAGCTATATTATTTTTGGATCTTCTTCTTTATAAGATACACTCTTCCTCATCTTTGCAGTTACTGAACTAGTAGAAGGAGACTCCTCCAGAAAAATAGTGGAAATAATCTGCAGAACAAGCTTGTTAAAATCTGAAACCCATTGTGACCGAATTGATCGAATCTTCAAAGTCCACAACACCCAGAAAACTCTCGCTCGCTTCGAAGAACATCGAGAAATGATAAAGAACAAAGTCAGCAAACTTCCTAAGAAGCATCCTCGCTGCCTTGCTGATGGAAATGAGCTGTTGAGATTCCATGGCACAACAATTGCCTGCAATCTCGGCATTAATGGCTCTTCAAGCCTCTGTGTTTCAGAGAAATGCAGAGTTTGTGATATCATAAGGCATGGATTCTCTGCAAAGGAGCTGAAGGGAGGATTTGGAGTCTTCACAACTTCAACCAGTGCAAGAGCAATTGATTCGATTGAGCTATATCATAATGATTGTTCAATAAAGAAGGCCCTGCTGGTTTGCCGAGTTATTGCAGGGAGAGTCCACAGGCCATTAGACAACTTCCAGGAGATTTCAGGTCAATCTGGATTTGATTCTTTTGCTGGAAAAGTTGGTCTCTATTCCAACATTGAAGAGCTCTATTTGCTAAATCCTCAAGCTCTTCTACCTTGTTTTGTGGTAATTTTTAAGGCTTAAACGAGTTTAGTAGTTTTTGTTTACTGTAATATTTATTTAAGATTTGAAACCACTGTTTCAGCTATTTTGAATAACGGTCAAATTTCATCTAAAGAACTATCAGATCTCTGCTTCACAACTGGGAATTCTTAATCTAATAAAGATATGATGATTATTGTAAATTAGTATTTTACTTAGCAAAACGCATACATTTGAGCCCCATTATGATTAAATTTGTTAAAAAAAAAAAAACTAAAAATCATAATTAAAATCCGTCCGTAATGCCAATGAGACTCTCGTGCCTTTGTTTATTGTCCAAAGTCTGATACTTATTAAAGTCTTTTCTTGCCTTCACAGATCTAACGAATGGTAATCAATTGCTGCAATTAACTACTATTTAAATCCTAAGGGGCTGTTTGGTAGCACCCAGGATTTGATTTAAGTAGGATTTCGTAAATCCGCTAAATCCGGATTTTGGAAATCTTAAGGAGCCTAAATCCTAAAAAATCGTGTGACTTTTGGCTATAGAACGGATCTAATGAATAGACTCTTCCGCTCGAGCCAACGGATTTTGTAAATCCGACAAAAAACAGGGTTTAGGAAATCCGGGATTTAGCATGAAAATGCGGAATTTTTTGTCTACGGTGATTTGGTTTTGACTTTTAGCCTATTTAGCTTGATTTCCCTCAAATCTGCCTCAAATCCGGCCTAAATCCTGCTACCAAAAAGCCCCAAAAAATCCACTGAAACCTACAGCCATTGATATGAGCCGATTCATCTTCAAACAATCTGTAATTTTTCTCTCAGTTTTCTTCCTATTACTACTAACCATTTAGCAATCTGTAAAGCTTTCTGCTTTGCTTATTGATAATCTCCAGCCTTACAGATTTGCTGCATCATCATTTGCAATATGAAGCATATAATTACGCACAGTTTTCTTCATATAAAAGTCAATGAAATTATAACTAAGTTCAGCCATAAATATTGATCATATGGCTTTAATAATTAAGTGTACTTTGTCATACAAAATTGACAATGATGTGAACGCTATCAAATCTCTATCTGTACGTCATTAATGACATTAATTAGGATCCTGTGGATTAATTAATCAGAATGTCTTCCCTACAGTTTAATTGAATTGTGCTTAATGTTGACCTGGAAGCTTGGCAGTTGTACTAAACCTAACATGTAGACCAACAAGCACTTTGAATCATTAAGATCTGAAGTTAAATTACTGTAATTAATGAAATATTATAATCTAGAGAACAGTCCTGTCTCAGGTTACATCAAAAATTTATGGATGAGAAGCTCAGTTCTCTCCAACCACCCAACGACGCTACGAGGCTTAGGGTGGTCGGTAGGCGAGCACGGTTGGGAATCCCCCATCTCGGGTTCGAATCTCCTTTGCTACGGCCTCGTCTCTTCAGTGGGGCAAAGCCAGTGTAGGTCCGATGCCAGTGGATGATCTTGTTTGATTCCATCGAGAGATTAGTTACGCCACCAAACTCTACATTTGGAGTGGCAGCGGGTAGATACCTCTATTCCAAAAAAAAGTTCTCTCGAACCACCTTGTTTAATGGCAATGCAAGATGCCAGACTCTATTGTTCATTCTTATTAAAAACATATGTGCCATCATTTAAAGTGCAATAAATTGCACCTGCAAATTTGCTCTGCAATTTAATTGATATTGTTTCAAGTCGAAAAGGTTGTACTGGTACAAGCCTAACTTGAATGGCTTTCTGAGTGAAGATGCATACCTGACCTATAAAATTCTAATTTGGATCGATTCGTTTGATAAGGGGGTCGGGTTTAAGTCCTTGTCCAAATTTTAATTAGTAGGGCGGATCTTGGTTGACTTGCAAACTAGATTCTCGCATGATTTTAACCCGATAACGATCCATTTATTTATTTAATTAATTATTGGGTTGTTTGTATGTAGTTCTTAATTCCTTCCGATCAATTAACTTGAACTGTATAGTTGACAAGTTAGAATTTTTTTTTTAAATCAAAACAAGTTATCAGATCAGCCTGGTTTTAGTTGAATGGGTTCAAGTCCATCTTTTTGACCAATTTATTAAATCGGCTGGAGTCATATTGACTATGTTCAATTTCGTCAATTTTGGATTGATCTGGAACCCTTCTTCTCTGCCAAGCACAGACTTTTTTTTTTCCCTTGACGGCTGATTCTAATCTTTGGAAGTGGCTTGCGATGCTATTATCCATTGTAAAGAATAGTACATGAGATTTTCACCTCATACGGCTCCTCGTTCAATTCTTTCAAAGTAATTGGATCCTTTTATTCATTCGAGAATCTCTTCCCTTCTTCTACTCCGTCACGAAGAGTAACTCGACCAAATTTCAAATCAAGAACTTGAATGGGTCAAAACGCAGGACTCAAGAAGCCCAAATATGATAGAGTTGTTGACAATTCTTCCAGGGTCGACTATTGCCTTCATCAGTGGAGCAGTATTCAGAATCCATTTTGACACTCCTAATGTAATATATTATCACTTTTATATATGGCATCTTATATATGAGATAATTAAAGTGCATAATCAACATCCTCCCGTATTAGAAATGATGGATTTTCATGCCTCCGTTCAATTTTCAATAAACCTTCATGTCTAACAAATATATTTTAATTTGTCATTTTTATTTGATATTTTTAATTGTAAATATTTAATTTTACGCTCTCAAAAAATAAAATTAATATATACCCACTGATTAATTTTTTTTTTAATTCCACTATTGCGAGTAGGATAATTTTTCAAGCAAAAAATTTGTTCTTTCAGCATATTTAACACCACAATAATTAAAAAATCTGACCCCATCAATCCATTTAAAAAAAAAAAACATTTTTTAAGCTTACAATGGGATTAACCGATATATTTTGAATAAAAAATAAAAAAAAAATAAATTAATTAGATCATCAATTGGATCACACTTCGGTTATTTATTTATTTATTTATTAGGTTAATTGGATCATACTTCGTTGAAGCAAAGTTAGGTTTATATTCCATCGCTTGTGTTTATCTCATTAGTCATTTTAGAGAGGTTGAAATATGCCTTTCCTTAAGTGGCTTGCAATTATATTTTTCAAATATTATTTTCTATCTCTTTGACAAAATCGAAAAGCTCCAAAATTAGAAAGGGTAAGCTTTGATAAATTAGGCATAGAAATTTGACTCTTGCAATGTTTCATTCATTATTTTTGCCCAACCTAACAAATATATTTTCTTAAAATCGAGAAATTATTCTGTGCAGAGCCCGGACGAGAAGAACAGTCCGAACATGTGAGTTTACACACTTGAACACGGTGTGTATTAAATTTTTGTGTATACTATTTGTACACAGTATGTCTACTCACACTTTGGACTGGTCTTCTCGTCCGGACTTTACACAAAATAATTTCTCCTTAAATTCTAGGTTAGGGTTTTATGGGACTATTACAGTATCTTCTAAAATTGTTGTGAAAAAAAAAATAAATAAATATTGATTTCTATAAATTACAACATATTAGTAACTCATGCAATAAACATAAGCGTTTCATCACACAAATTTTAAAAAACAACGTGAAAATGGTAGCAAAATGAAACCGTAGTTACGGTCTGCAAAACAAAATAGAGAAAAATCTGTCCAAACAGAACCTTAGTCAAATGTGCTTACACAATTTTGAAAAAATGGAGCTTTTCCCACTTGAGAAATAAATTCAAAATTGAGCACATTTTTTGAACTATATAATTTTTGGGTTTTTTATTAATTAGGTGATCGTATGGTGCTGAAATTTTGATTTGATAAATAATGAGTTATTTTATAAATCATTGAGTTGAGCATTTTTTCTTGATTGGCTCTGACTTTCTTTCTTTGAAATATAATTAATCAGCTAAATTCTTTGAGTTATTTTATAATGTTCAAGCTAGCTGATTCTGATTTGACGGTTAGGCTCACAAGTAAATTCTTTTTTGCCTAATGCTCATCACGTTTAAATTCCAAAAATCTGATCAGAATTAAGGCTTTGTTTGGGACAAATTTTGGCCAGTGTTTTTTCCGAGAAATTTTGGGGCTATGCCCGTATCATTAAAAAAAAGGAAAATTACGTGTGTAAATGTAAAGAAAAAACTGAAGTCCTAGATCTCAACAACAAAAAGATAGTTCAAGGAACCAAAATAAAGCCTAAAAGGCCAAAAAGGAATACAAAAACTCAAGCTAAGAGAGGCGGAGGACTCAGGTAGCTCTTGAAAATATGCGGGCCGGATCAAAGTTGCACCAAAGAGTCGCACAAAAGCGAAGCCCATGGTTGCCAATAAGACCATCCTAGGGGTAGCTGGATAAACCAACATTCATCATTGTCCTTCCAAAAGAATAGACGTAACATGGTAAAATGCAAAGAGAAACCCACAGCTAAACCGAAGGTTTGTCTTTCCAATTAGAGGTCTTGCGCATGAGAGCTTTTTTAATTTTTATAATTACAGTTGCTTGACAATCTAAGGCTTCGTTTGGGACTACTTTCTTCCTGCTTCTTAAAGCAAGTTTCTAGTACAAAATTTTAAATTTTTTAATTAGAAAGCCGCTTTAAGAAGCAGTAAGAAAGCCGTCTCAAACGAGATATAAGATTCTTCCGGAAATTCTATCATTTCTAGCTCTTCAAATATGATAAATTAAGGCATAGGAAGCAAGCTTGTAAAAGCTACTACGAGTTCCAGCAATTCCCTTCTCTTGGATGGTTTCAAATACTTGATGGATATTCGGTCTCCTGAGAAAATTAGAAAGCTGCTTTCACCGTTTTTTTACTGTTTTCACTATTTTTTAAAATAGTTTTTTAGTGTAAAAATTTATTAAAAATATGAAAAAAATAATAGTAAAAAACAGTCACAAACAAAACCTAAATTAGAGTCACAAAATTGATTAAAATTGAACGTATTTCTAAGTCCAATTTTTGAAGTCAAAATTGAACTTAAACTAAAAGAAATTTGCTACAGAGCAAAAATAATAATAATAAAGCCTGCCATGTATTGCATAAATATCAATTCATGTGGGCAATCAAGAAGATCTCAACATTTGTGATATTTTTTTAATAAAAAATAGTTTTAAAAGAAAATAAATAGGTTTATTTATTTATTTAATTTTTTCTTTTACTTTCTTAAATAACTTCATTTTTAAGAAATTTTTTGAAATGGTTTTAATACTTCAAGAATATATCTTTCCTTCAAACTCCAGACTTAAAAGAAATTGAAAAGGAAAAAAATTATAAAGTGTACTTTCACGCAACTTTTTATTTCTGGTTTTCCATTTTTAATTTAATTTATTTTTAATATTGAAAATGAAATAAAACATTGTTTTTATTGAATATTGAATAAGTTGATTTATGTTATGATAGCGGATGCCATTGAGGGGGTAGCAGTGATTGGCTAGGTGGTGATGATTGCAGGGAGGCCATGGTCGATGATGTTATTGGCAATGGTCGCTTGTCATGGGTGTAATTGAGTCACGCTGGCAAGAATAACTCATGAATGAATTTGTGCTTAAGTAACAACTCATGTGCTAAATGAGTTTGAATTTAAGCTTGACAATGCTCAATTCATTTGCTCAAGAACAACTCAATTAATCTAGGATTTTTTGCCACTATTCAATTTGGTGTTCGTTCTAAGTTTTACAAACACCTTTCTTCTTCAATCCTCGCTAACCATGAATTATCCTATCTAGGGAGCTCTCATTGTAGCTTCTCTAATCCCCATTGGTCTCATTGATGGAAAATTATTACGTCCGGTGTCTGGATTCATCCGGACATCAATCCAGACATGCCACATCACCCAGATACACCCGAGGCCAGTGTATCCGGGTGACGTGGCTCATTTGGATTGGTGTCCGAACGATCCGGTCACCGGACGTAATAATTCGCCCTCATTGATGCCTTCTCCAGGGCACTCCCATCTAAACTTTCCCACTCCCTACCAATCCCATCAATGCCAACTCCAAGAAACTCTTATCATATGACTTCAAGTTCTTATAACTACTTTTGCTGCCATTTCCACCAAGTTCCAACACAATTTCCTCACCTTTGGTTCCACGAGCTTAAATTCTGAAGAGTCAAGCTCGAGCTCATCCTATGAGCTTGAATCCAACTTGGGTTTGCTATGGCTCAACCTTAACTCAACTCGTTTGCACTTATATTATCTTTGGTGTTGGCGGCGTCAATTTCCAACATTGCAATGATCGGTGCCAATTGTCGTGGTTCTCAGAACACTAAAAAAAACTTTGATTAGAGTTAGCAGAGGGGAGGAATTATGGCGTGTTGAGTTTTTAGCTAGGGAGGGAATGGTGGGGGAAGACAAAAACGATGATCTATTGCAGCTCAGGGGAACTGGGGGAGCTGGTTTCGGCTAAGCTCTAAATCATCTTGACTCACCAATGAGGACCACAATATAAAATATAAATCACAAATGATCACTAAACTTACATTCCATGATTCTGACGTCTGAAGTTATTGACGTATTCGTGAATTGGAGAAAAAAAAAACTCTAATTAAAAGTTCATAATTTATGTTTTTTTTTTTTTAACACGGAATATATAAATCTTTTATATGTTTGAGCCATTTCCTAAGCAGACGTGCGCTTTTTATGGGGAAGAAAGGCAAAAGGCTTGTTACCTCAATATAGGAAACTTGAAAGGATTAAAAAACATAAATAAATATATTTGAACTCTGTAGGAAGCTGGGATGCGGCGGGCACTGACAGCTGAACTGGAGTGTTACTGCCTCTACAGAAGCTCCGGCCCACGTGATAGAAGTTTTTTGTTTTGTTCTTATTCTGTTTCGTTCAGATTTTTTTTTTTAATATTTCATATTCTTGCTTTTTTTTTTTGTAAGATCAAAGATAAAAAAAATCAATTATCTTTTTGAAAGGAAAGTAAAAAGAACTCATCTCACATAGCCTGCTGCGTTTAAGTTTAGTTATTCTATAATAAACAAATGAACTATATGTCTTATAACCTATCAAATCAAAACATTAAAAGGCGGGTAAATATTCGATCTAAGTGCAGAAGTTTGTATACTTCGCTATTCTGATTCCATATCCGCATTCTTAGACGTAGAAAAAAAGAAAAGAAGCTTCTACATATTCTACCGTTTTCTACATCCATGAAAACGATCTCAAGCGAGACCATCATCGCAAATTAAAACCATACTAAATCCTAACCCTAATCAAAATAAAAAAAAAGTAAGATCCTATCGAAAAGCTTAAGCGAAGAGTAAACTCATTACTCACCGCCAAGGTGGCCAAGGAGCAGAAGCGGCTGCAGGCGACGCTCCATTGCCTGGCGCAGCATCGCCACCTGCTCCGCAGAGACTACGCAGAAGCCCTTCTTATAAAGCATGTCCTGAACCTTTGCTGAGGAAACCATCACTTGTAGCAGCTGCTGCCGCGTGAGCCGCTCAAGTCCGAAAGCATTTCCCGGTGGGTTGGAAGACGGAAAAACCCTAGAAGCTGCCGGCATAGTCTCCAGAGCAGTGACTTGAGCCTCCAGGAACTTGACATACTTACACGCTTCTTCCAGCATTGTACCTGTGTCAAGCCGCCGCTCCCATGGCATCAGCTTCTCAAGGATTCTCGTACGCTCGCTGATTAACTGCCTTCGTTGTCGGGATCTCTCTGTAGACCGCGCAGATGGCGTTTGACGAACGTTTTTCCCTGGGTCCACCAACTGCCGATTCGGCACTGGAACTAGCGACGGAGTGCACCGCCAGTATTGAGAACACATACGCGTTCTCTTATGAGGCGTGGATGATTGAATAAGGGAGATATGCTCGACAGATTGACAACGAGTTGCGTTCGAAACGAATCTCTCCATGAATGGATCTTGAAGCGGCTCCAATGATAAAAGATTTGGAAGTTGGAAGAATCCAGTACTGGAATCAATCTTGAAGGATGTCGCAGCGGGAATCAGTGTTCTGCTTGCCGGGTCCACTTGCTCGATCATCATGAACGGATGAAATGAGAGATGATCAGAACCTGAAAAACCAATCGCGGAGGCGGTTCCTGTTTGATCCTGCAGCAGTGACGGAAACGGAACGAAACCCCCGCAGTCTGCGTCGTTCAGCGAGGCGCCATCGGTAAAAGTAATCGGCGTAGATAGTGATGGCGAGACGAGAATTCTTGTTCTGTAAGAACTCTCCATTTCGCCTTCTAGGAACCAAAACCCTTGAAGGAAAGGAAACAGAATCGCCGGAGAAACCGCAGATGGACCAGCGTAGCGTTTATATAGCAGCGGTTGTGAGTTGAAGGACACGTGGCGTAATATGGTTTGTAGTCTACCGTGTGCGGAAAGACACTGGCTGTAGCGATTCACACGGGAGGCGAAGGAGGCGGCCGCGCCGCACGATCCTAGATGATTGCATTATTTGCAACGTACCGGATTCCACCGGCACGTGACGATAGCGCAATTTCTTTAGCAAAGTGAAATCTCTACCGTTCGTAGAAAATCATGATTTCATCTGACGGCTGTGGAGAGCTATTTCCTGACACTGTTGCCGGGCGTGGGTCTCTCACGTGCCTGCCGTTGCCGTTATCTCCCTATTCAAGAAGCCTGTTATTAACCAAAATCACAGAAACGCCCTCATAAAGAGCCAGTTACAGAATGGCATTTTCGTAGATAACTTGCAAAAATTACCTTTTTCTGAGTGCTTTGTCGTCACGTCCAACAAATGTTGAGTACTTACATTTTTAACCCTTATCAGGGGCAAGAATAAGATTGGTGGAATTTTCATAAACGGACGATATTTTTATATAATAACAAAATTGCCACTATGGAATTATCTCAAAAAAATTTTAAATATGCCTTCAGTTATTAGAGGACGGTGGCAGGCTCCGAATGATTTTTTTCAAAATAATAATAATAATAATAAATAAATAAAAATTTTATAAACTAAATTTATAACCTGTTAATAATTATTTATTTTTTCAATTTAATATCAAAAATTCTACTTCTTGATGGCCATTAGGGGTGTGAGTAAGTCAAGCCGACTCATGAACCAATTAGGATTTGACTCGATAAATAGCTCGTGGATGAGCTAACATGTCAAGCTTATGTTGGCTCCGACTCGACTCGTTAATTTGCGAGCTAGCTAATTTATATTAAAAATATTAATATAAAATTTAATTAAAATATATTTGAATTCATGATTGAAGTACAAAGTTATTAAAAAATGGTTAAAATCATAATCATTTATTTTAATAACGAGTTGGCTCATGAACTGGCTTGAACCCAATTAATAAATCAAGTTCAAACTTAAACCAAAGATGACTCAGCCCAACCCAACTCAACTCAATGGATTTGTTTTATAAATTATTTTAAAAATAAATCAACTAATTTCTCCTTAATATGCATATTATAGCTTTGATGGCTTGATTGTATTTTTTGGTAAATAGGGATGCTTTATAGTATTCAATGCTTCCATTGTACTTGATTTTGTAAATCCATTTGCATTTGATTGGTTTATTTTTAATGGGAAGAGGATAAGCTAGCTCCATGTGTTGTTTTATTGTAATGCTTTCAATTATTAACTCATGACTTGTTGCAAATGAGGATTGAAGATAGCTTGAGCATAATTTTTGACAATCTAGTGACCTGGAATGTTAGTAAGAAATTTATGATGGGCATGAGAAATAGGAGTATATGATAAAAGTATTGAGTAAAAGATATAATGATTGAGTGGGGATGCCATTTCATAGTCTTTATGTCATGTTAGAAGTTGCTTTGGGAAAGTAGATGGGAGAGAGTATGACTTCGTTTGGGATGGTTTTTTTTTTTTCTTTTTTGCTTCTTAAAGTAGCTTTTTAGTACAAAAAAAAAGAAAAGTTTTGTGATAGAAAGTTGTTATAAGAAGCAGTAAGAAAGCTATCCCAAACGAACCGTATGTTATTCTAAATTGATTTTGTTGGTTCATGTGTGATGAGCATGATCTCATGAATTTCATGTGCTTTTGTAAATTGGGTTTCAGGAATTGAATTGTACATAGTGAAAGTTTGTTCAATAGCCAGGTTGTCAGCAATGTCAAAGGAAATATTATGTAACCTATATTCTTGACTAGGTGTGTTTGGAATATTTAAGAACTTCTCAATTCCTATATCATGAAGTTTAATATAATTGTTTTGTATAATGGAAAATTTGTTTTATATAATTAGTCATCACAACCATTTAAAAACTTCTCAATTCCTATATCATAAAGATTATAACCTTTTTGACCAATTAGGTATTTAAAAATATATAGTTTGGCATGACGATCAATGAATGAGATAAATAGTAGTTACATGTCATAAACAACTAAAAACTTTTAAGTAATCAAGAGATGAAGGCCAATTGTGTGGTAACTCAAATGGGAATTTACTAGACAACAATGATGATGTCATTCTGTTTATAAGGTTGATAATGATCAATACACCTTCTCCCTGAAACAAGTGGTGGATAGGATTGGAAAGTAATGTTCATGCTATGATTAGAACATGTCAATATATTCATTCTACTACATTTTTCCTTGGAATGTGAACAAAGAAGCTTTGGTATCCAATCACGTTATCTTCAATGAAGCTGTTTATGGAAGGAATTCAAAGCCATTGTCAACTCTAACAGCTTGAACGTAGGAACAAAATTGAGTGTAAGCAAAATTGATGAACTTCTGCGAAGGTTTGTGTTTTGTACTTATTTTGTATGAGGAATTTTCAAGCGCAGCATGTGAAATCATTAATAATATTAAGAAGAAACATGCCCGTGAATAGTTTGGATGATTAATTTGGTTCTGAAATATCACAATGTAGTAACTTGAGCATGACTAGATAGTGAACTTATAGGAAATGAAAGTAATGGGATAAACAATTATTATTGTTTGAGATGTTTTTTGAAGATAACAATAAAGAAACTTATTTTAGGTGAGACACTTGAGATGCATACATTTTTTGTACTAGGAGCATGTAATAGAGAGAAACATGCTGTTTTCCCAAGCCAATTGTCCTGCATATGATCAAGTCTTGCAAGATACAAAAGGCTGGAAATAATACCAACAGTTTGGATCGGTGTTAAGATTGCTTACTGACATTAAATTCTAGTGGAAGGAGAGGACTAACAAGACATAGTCTAAGGTTATGTTTAAATTGGATGATATTGTAACTGCTAAACTTATTGGTGTTGAAGTCGCAGTAGGTAAATTAATTAATGTTATTAATGAAGGTTTTGTTTTGAGTAAAAAGTGTTGGGTCTGAAATGATGTGATATGTAGCTTTACTTTTTTAAATCTAAGGTGTTGTGAATGCAAAATTGGTTGTTAATGCAAAATTGATTGAAGTATTGGAAAGTTGAACTCACCTGCAACATTTGCATAAGCATTACTATTACTAGAAGCATGATTCTGGTTCATCATAGATATAGCATGAGAGTGTTTTTGATGTTGATCTGTGGAAAGACAATGTGATGGTTTCTAACACCCCAAGATTTAAATTTGAAAGAATTATCAAATAATATCTCTTAATTGATTTGCTAGAGTCACTATATATCTATTATTTCAAATAAATCCATCAAAACACTGTAAATCATATACTTCAAAATATTTATATATTCATTCATTTAAAATATATTTTATAGTACTTAGGAGATTTTAACAATATCAAACTAGATTGCAATTTAAAAATCAAAATAGTGGAAAAGCTATTTTGAATGTACCTTAAATTCTAATTCAATGAAGTAAACGAAATTGACTTTTTTAATTTTTGTTAAACTACTACGATCACTATAAATTTTTAAAGGGTCTTTATTTTTCTGGATTAACTCCATGGTGTGATAAAGCATATACTAATACAGTTTTATTTCTGCCTTACGATTAAAAGGTTTGAACATCGAGAAGAAAATAGGAAGGACTGTCTGAGAAGTTCCTGCCTAATGTGGCTTTAAACATTAAATGAGGACTGCCCTTTCCTCCAAATCCAAATTGGAGAAAGTGTTATGTATTATCTGTCTTTGAAAATCGGGTTAGTTGTTGTAGATCATCTACAGTGCGTGCTATTGTGCATTTGAACAACCAATAATGGCGGTTTATTTGTCATTGAAGGTTATCATTAGCTTCTACTAATGTGCAGCTCTTATCTGCAATTGTCTGTCTTATTTGATTTTTCCTGATTGATTCAGAAGAAATTTTGAAAGCTAATAAAATTGAACGAGCAGGCGCATGACATGCTGAAGAACAGGATATGCATGATTCAAGAGCATGTCCAGATTCCTAGCTTAAGTTTTATGACTTCAAGCTACATTTTAAATTTTCTGAGGGTTTTTTCTTTTTGAAATTGTTAAAAACTCTGTAAGATTATGTTGATATCATTTTTATCTAAATGAAGCTAATTCTTTTTCTCTTGTTTGTGTACGTCATATGTTTATTTGCTCGCCCAGTTGTGATGCCACATCATCAATGAAATATATTGATGGACAAAATGTTCAAATTTGATATTTTGGTCATATTGCGCTTTTCACATCAACAAATGATTTTTGTCTGGCGTACATTGAGTTTTAACTGATTTTGGGGTTGCTAAATGTCATCCTAGATTTGCATTTTGGTGGCTACACTAAGAGTAAGGAGAACAAGACACAACAACAACATCATCAAGCCTTTATCCCAATACGTGGGGTGGGCTAGAAGTTTTTCAAGGAACAATGATTTCTTATTAGGTGAATTTAGTTTCAAGTTAGTTTACTAATAACAAGATGTAATAGTTGAGAGTTTCTATATGATGACCAAAGATATCAGATTTTAGCTAATGATTTATTTCAAATGGTTGCAGTTTTTCATAAAGATGTTTATGAAATTGATATGAGAAAGTCAATTTTAATTTAAAGATATTAATGTAGGCATTATAGATATATAAACTTATAAAAAATAGACAGTTGATTTATTAATGTTTACACGCATTAATTTATGTGATTATAAAAAGCAGTTTTTCATCATAAAATTTTTTTACAAGCGATAAATAAAAATTTGATTGCAATTTGAAAAGCCAAATAGTGGGAAAGCTGTTTCTAACACACCTTAAATTCTAATTTAGTAGAGTAAAAGAAATTGCCTTGTTTTATGTTTTGTTAAACTATGATCCTTACAAATTTTGAAAGGGCGTTTAGTTTTCTGGATTCATTCCATGGCATGGGAAAGCTTAAACTAATACAGATTAAAATTGAGTTTAACAAAATGATTAAATGAGGTTTGCTCTTTCCTTCTAAAAGTGTTTAAAAAACTCTCTAAGAATACTTTGAGATCAGTTCTGTTAGGTAATATGTTTCTTATATATGACTAAATTTTAGTTTTATTGTTTAATTGAGTGTTTGTTGACGCATTGAGTAATGTATTCGTACTAATTTTACTTTGCAAGTAATTATTTCCTCATGCGTTGTTTCTATCCATTCCTCATAAATTTCCAAATATAAACCGAAACAGAGCATTAAAACTCTCAAACCTGCTGAATTGATAAACAAAGCAATATAAAATGGAAACTATCCACACTAAAATTCATTTAATTTTCAGAATTATTACATATCAACAAGATTCTACTTTCAGAACCTTCATAAATGGATATATTCCATAACAAAATTGTTTTGCGCTGTAAGCAGCAAAACTAACATAGAACATATCCTCAGCATCATCATCATCAACTGTTAAGTCCAAAAATAAGCCCTTCAAAGGGCATTTTCTTCTCTTTTCCGTCATCAGAAGGACCGAAATAAACCTTCTTCATCCTCAGGAACACCTTGCAAGTCAGCAAACTATCAGACCCCGCTTGATGCGCTTTCCCCTCCGCACGCTTCACGCCCAACTTCTCAGCCACCTTCTCCAGCCCCCCGTAAAGCCCATCGCATCTTCTAATCAAGCACTTGATATCATATATGCGGCCACCAAAATACCACATTGTCAGCGCGATGAACTCCTCCATGGTCTCCGACAGCCTCACACGTAGTTTCGTGGTCAGTTGAAACAGGGCTTTGAACAAGATAGCAAAATCGTAGCATCCGTGAAAAGCTACCCATGTCGCTCTAGAGAAGTCGCCGACGAGGCCAGCGTCAAGTAGAAGGTGGGCGAGCCAGACGGAGGGGATGCCCAATTGACGATTCCGGGTAAGATTTATCCCAGAAGACTCGAGCAGAGCGACCGAGCTGGGAGCGTGGGGGTGGCTGTGCAGGTCGAAGTCCCGGAGTTCGAACTGCCAGGAAGCGGTGGAGGTGGCGCCGTCGCTGATAGTAATGCCGACCTGAATGGGCCGAATCACGTCGGCGTTCAGTTTCAGGACAGAGTAGCGCTCGGCAGGGGAGAGAAGCGTGTGATGCTTCGATGATCGGAAAATGCAGCCCGGGAACTCTGTGTCGAAGAAGACGAAGGGGGAGCGGCAACGGCGAGAAAACTGGATGAAGGAGGCCGATTCGATGTAGAAGTTTCGGATATCCACCTGACGAAGAGAAGCCATGAGAGCAGAGCTTCCTTGCGCTATGTTTGGAAACAGGGAAATGTCGAATGAGTTATGAGTTGCTGTAAGATGATATATATAGACAGGAGATATATATAGAAAGATATCGTATATTTTTTGTTTTGAGAGTATCTGCTAGAATATCTAACGGTAATATTTTATTTTAAATTAGAAAGCATCGTTCAGAATTTGAGAAATTGAGGAGGTGAAATTTAATTTTGAGTGAGAGTTATTGTGACGGTTTTATTTAAAAAAAAAACAAAGTAAAAGATGATCGAATGTGGGATGAAATAATCAAAGAGGCAACATAGCAGGACTTCCAGAAGGATATTAGGGAATGTGAGAAAATACTTGAGGATATACTCAGCTGGGACCAAGGTTTAAAATTGCGTAATTAAGCCTCGAGGCGGTTTTCGTCCGTGAGGCGAGGCGTAAGCCTCGAGGCGGTCTGAGGCGTAAGCCTCACGGACACAGAATTGCGTAAATGAGAAATTAAGGGTTTTTCTTATAATAAAAAAATCATAAACCATAGATTTTCTTACACTTGAAAAATCTAACCCTAAACTAAAAAAAAAATACCTAAAATCCATGTGGAGTACTCCTAGAGGGCGGCCTGAAGTTTCAACTTCGCCGGAGAGAGGCGGCGCCGGCGGGAGAAGCGGCGGGAAGGGAAGCTAGCGGGTAAGGACCGTGCGGGAGCTCTCTGTTTCGCGAATTGAAGCCGTGCGGGTAGGAAAAATTCGGAAGGAGCTGCTGTCGTGCGGATTTAAGGAGAAAAACATTCATTTTAAGTGGGTGGGTCCATTCCCATGAGGCGTACGCCTCACTAAGAATTGCGCAATTGCGCCTCTGAGGCGCGTCTCAGTCTATGTGAGGCGTACGCCTCTGCCAGGGATGGAATTGCGTAAGCTTCGAGGCGGTTTTTGGACGAGTTGCGCAGAGGCGCGCCTCTTATTGCGCAATTTTAAACAGAGGCTGGGACAAGCTCCTTCCTATGGTAATAAAATTATCAATCTACAGCAGAAAAGTACCTTTAAGATTAAAACCATGACATCACTCAACTAGGATTTTTTCCTTTGCCGGAATCATAAATATAATAAAAGATGTGCAAATGGCTCAATAGGTTATAAAAATCTATAATTGCATTCAATGCACAAAAATAAAATAATATATATGTTAATAATCAATCAATTAATCAGAAAAAATAAATATGTGTTGGGCAAGTAAATCTCTATGCTCATATATAGATGTTATATACATTATTATGGACGAGATTATAATTCCAAAATCATAATTTATGTCAGGCATCATATAATATCAGAATTCTTCCAACTAATTTATGTTGTCTTGTATAGAAGTATATCATCACATATATTAGATAAAGTTAGATATTCTAACTAATCATAACAAATCATATCATATTTTGTAGTGTTTTCTCTATACTAGTCATAATAAATTAGTTACAGTAATATATTATGTTAAATAAGTAAAAACAATCAAGGGTTATTATATACAAGAGTCATCACCTTAAGCCCTTCGATACTCAAAATTATTTGACGTCCCCATTATATATCTCATCTTTTATGAGGCTTGCGCCACTAACCTTTATTTAAAGGAAAACTGATCAACCCACATTCCTCTGGAAGATATGTTGTCTCTACCATCTTGAATCATAATAGCCAAAATTATTAGCATGAATAGTATAACTATTAATACTTTGACGAACTCCATAAACTAAAGAATTTGTAAAGTCTCAAAGGGATCTAGGTTGATCTTCACCATCAGTTTAATTAGCCTTTTTTCTAATTATTTTTTTAGTTCTTTTTTTAATTTTTAAAAGCCAAAAGTAAGAAGGACAAAACCAAGTAACAAGCTACAAATTTGTCTTTCCTTCTTTCAAATGTTTGCACCCAATTTTCTTTACAAACCCTCTTACTCACACTCCCTAATTCAATTGAAAATGTAAGAAAATTATGGCAGAAGAGTCTCTCCAACCAGGAATTTTTCGGAGAATATTTTGGACACTAATTGGATGATCAAATCATCTACAAACCTTTCGTGCTTAAAGAAGAATCAAGCATTTCAATGATGGATGTATTGCCAAGTTCAAAGGCTGAAATTTGGTATCCAAACCTTTTATTTTTATGATAGGGTGAAGCTGGACGTATTGCCAAGTTCAAAGGCTGAAATTTGGTATCCAAACCTTTTATTTTTATGATAGGGTGAAGCTGGACGTATTGCCAAGTTCAAAGGCTGAAATTTGGTATCCAAACCTTTTATTTTTATGATAGGGTGAAGCTGGACGTATTGCCAAGTTCAAAGGCTGAAATTTGGTATCCAAACCTTTTATTTTTATGATAGGGTGAAGCTGGACGTATTGCCAAGTTCAAAGGCTGAAATTTGGTATCCAAACCTTTTATTTTTATCAAGTTGAGGCCCGCCCGCTGAATAGATAAAGCATTGCAACGATATGCATGAATCATCATGGTGCTTCATGTGTGTAACTATCCACACTAAGATTATCGTGACTCTTGGACACCAAAATTTCTACTTCATAGTGCTATGACATTAGAATTACAATGCCGTATATCAATGTTGAGTTGATGGCACTAACCTCAACCCTGACGCCACATCCAATCCTCCACCAACCGGCCCAAATAATCCTTCCCATCTCCTACCCGACGCCATCCCTACCCCCTTCCTCATTAACGTCGGCCCACCCCCATGTTCCCCACCATAATGATGATTCCACTCATCATAATGGCTTTCATAAATTAATTCAAGCAAGAAAGGAAAGCATTGAGAATTATTTGAAATTAAAATTTGAGTTTCAAATACTTTCCAAGATTGCAATTTCTAATTTAGGAAAGTTCATAAACCTAAATCCAATTTCGATTTAAATTAGATTTGATTTTAATGTTCTCCTTCCTAAATTAAATCACTTGTTTTGGAAGCTCTTAATTCCTCCACAAAATTTCCTTCTCCCCTCTCAAGATCCCACTAGCCCCTCCCTTGCCCATGCTTCCTCTCTCCACTTCAAATCCCTAATCCCAATTTGAATTTAAAATTAAATTTCAAATTCAATTCCCTTCCAAAATACTTAAATCTCAATTTAACTTTAGATTTATTGATAATCACCTCATCCAAACCCTAAACCTAACATAGCCCACAAATCCTTCTCCTCCTTTGCCCATCCTCTCCCCTTGTTTCTCTTGCATACCCTAATTCTTTCATGAGTTTTAGAGCAAAGAAAAGATGACAAACTTCCTCCTCCCATCTACTATTAATGCATGGCCGACCCTGAGGTCAACCACAGATTCGTATACAACGCTCAAGGAGAAATCAACATCTTGCAATCCCCTTTCTTTGATCCAGACTAGTAATACGAGGATTCAATGGAAAACTACGTAAATCGCATACTCTATCATCTCACCGAGACAATTGACAAGCAACAACCAACGAAACATTGGCAACTCTTCGTCCGATCATCAACTTACCCTCCTCCGACTACTTCTCCATGAACAATACCTTACGCATCACTTGTCTTGTGGTGGCATCACCAGGGTTACTTCTACCCTTTCTCCGCTAAACTATAATTTCAAGAGCGATAGTGAGGGAACTCAGGATGAACACTTCTCGTTGCTAAGCCGTGGATTTTGTTTCATTTCCATTAGTTTTACTTTCTTATTTTGTTGTTACTTGCAAGTATCCTGTTAATCTCATTTGTAATCAATTGCTATTACATAACCTTCTTATGAAAATTTCTAAGAATCTAACTTGGTGAAACATAAGTTTACGATTAGCAAGGTTTAAATTCAAATTAGTAAAGTTCCTAAAAGCAATTCTCGTTTACTTACATGTTTCACACATAGATCTTATCTTACTTCACAAAATTTGATATTGGAAACATTAGACAAATTAAAACTAGTTTTTATTTAGTCCCTTAGATTGACCTAAATCCCACCCTACCTCCCTTTGTTTTACCTAAGCCACAAAACATAGATTTTATCATCTTATTGGTGCCCAATTGAATTAATGGACAGTCATCTCTTTGTTCCTGAACTTCCTTTAGCCAATATGAGGCGAATTATTAGATATTTTTCAAGACTTGTCTAACACATAAATGTTGGTTTAGAGGATTTTCTTGAAATCTTAACAAATTCTAATATGAATTAAAGATTATTTTTTTTTTTCTACTTTAAGACTAATATCCACCTAAAAATCATAAAATTTGATCATATGTGTTTCAACATAATGTTATGCATCATTTTATATTAGGGTGAGAAACATACTTCACTATGTCCTAAGACACCATAAATGATATAATCTCCTCAAGGTGTACAATGTTCATATAAAAGATTTTTGTAAGCATTTAAATTATATGAAATCTTTATTATTATACAAAATAAAATATAAATATTAACACTTTAATCATTTAGACTGAAACCAACTCTCATTATAAATTGAAATTTTCTAAATTTTGAAATAAAATCATATATATCAAGCTAAATAGATACTACATGACTTGACACAAAGTAAATGTTCTGTTAGGTACATCCTTAGACATCTTATTCTTAGGTTGTAGTTGCAGTAACAAATTCTTATCTCGACCCAAACCCGACCCGAAACCCTATTTTGACACCCCTAGTTCCAATAACAATCATATTTATATTTGAAACAATATGTATAAAAAAGAATATTTAAACGATTCAAAATAATGCTACAAGCAAGAGGAAGTCAAAAGGAACCTTAAAATTGGTTCAAGGATTTGATTATTCACTTTGATCTGAAAAAAACTTTTTATATAAACAATAGTTGTTGAAGTTCACTTTGATTTGGGATAGACTTCTTAGATAAATAATAGTTGCTTGGATGCAATATGGTAATAGAGCTCCCATACAAACTCATAATTCTATCCAATTTAAACATCCACATAATTAACTTTATCAACTCAAAAGGGGAATTATATATATAAACATGTATCACACTCATTGTGAGGTAATAGCTCAAACATCTTTA